GCCTCTCCGGCGGTTTCCCGGGTGGGTGCCGGTGGCCGGGCTCCGTCGGCTGCTCTGCTCAGTCGCCCTTGGGGAAGGGGCCCCGGCTGTGGGATTTTCGGGTAGCGCGTAGCAGTTTTAACCTGCCTCGCACGATGCGCACTGCTGCATGCCAGCCCTTGGTGTGTGATGGGTTTCCTCTTGGAAAGTAACGTCCCTTTTTCTTCTCCAGTTCTTCAGAGCGCTGAAAAATGTCAGGTTTTCTTGAGAGCTTGAGGTGCTCGGAGTGTGTTGACTGGGGAGAGAAACGAAACACGATCGCTTCTGTTGCTGCAGGAGTGCTGGTGCGTACAGCTTCTCTTAGGCTGCTTTCGGGCTTTTTAGATGGAGTCAGCTGTCAATGAGCTAAAAATCATTAGCTGTTTGGAAGTAAAAGGAAGAACAGGGATACGTTGTCCTTGTACGTAGCAGCAGAGTTAACGACAAAATCTGTTTTGGGTGCTTGCATCCACGTGTTACTTAAGTTTTGCCGCTTCTACCCATGTAATAACTACTGGGAGTAGGTAAATCTCTGGCTTTGCCTTTAACCTTGTTCCTGAGTTGATGGCAAAACTAGTTATGCTATCAGTTGACTCTGGGTTGGAGACTGTAAGAATGATTTTATATGTTAACGTTACTTTTTCTAGAGCAATCGTATATATTGTTAGAAGGCTTGAGTCCGTATTTTAAGCTATTGTGCTTTTTCTTCTTTTTAAATAGTTTTTTACAGGTTGGTGGATAATCATAGATGCAGCTGTAAAATACCCTAAAGTGGAAGACTTCAACCATTCATACCATGCCTGTGGGGTTATAGCCACTATTGCATTCCTAATGTAAGTGTAATTTCTCAGAGCTACACACTGCTAGAACTTATTTTATGCAATTAATAAAAGAACGCGTGGTCTTTAAACGGAGAGGTAACTAAGAATAACAAAGCGAGTTACTATCTGAGTATCTGTAATATCTTTCTTATATTTGTTGATATTTATAGTAAGGAACCACTTAAAAAAAATTGTGTCTTATTAGAGACACTTAGGTCTTATTAGTCCTTGGAGAAATGCTTTTTAAGTTTTAGCCTTGTCCCTCTTTTAAAAAAAAAAAAATACCAAACCCCACAACGTCATCCTTTCTATACAGGTTGCTGAGAAGTTTCTCCTATTGTTTTGCTTGCTTTACCTATGTTTACCCAGTTCTATCCTGTTTTGCTCGTACAGGATCAATGCGGTGTCTAACGGACAAGTGCGGGGTGACAGTTACAGTGAAGGCTGTCTAGGACAAACAGGTACGGTGGTGAGGGCTGTTGTATAGCGATAGATCTGTGAAGCCGTTAAGTCTTGCAGGAGCTGTAGCAGGGTGCACGCTGTGTATCTGTGCCTAGCTCTGGTGCGTGACAGAAGGTGCTCTGAAACAAAGGCGTGCGGAAAGTCACAAGTGCCTGTACTCGGACACAGGCACAAAACATCCCTGCGTCTTTTTCAAGGTGCTCGGATCTGGCTGTTCATCGGTTTTATGATGGCTTTTGGATCTTTGATTGCTTCCATGTGGATCCTTTTTGGAGGCTACGTTGTTAAAGGTAAGATGGGGCATGGGATGTGACCTGATCGGTTTTTGGAAGTTCAAAGTATTTTAAATGACTATGGAATTTTAGCACTTATTTTTAGATAGTTTTAGGCAGGCCCAGTTTTAATATTTTGGTTCCCTACGCATCACTATTCCATACTATCTACTATTATTGGGATGGATTTTATCTATTTCTAAGTCACAAACTTCCAACTAGCCTCATTAGAAACACAGGTCTTGGTCAGCTGGGAGCTGTGCTGATATAATTACACTGCTGCAGTTATATGGGAATAATTCCCTGGGTGAACACTTATTCCCAGAATAAAAATTGCTGGTTTTGTGCAAATTGCTCCCAAAGCCTGTATACTAAATTAGCAAAAGGGAAAAAAATAATTCAAATTGCCTGTTTCAATTCATACCTTAACACGTACCACAGTAGCTTTTTGTGAAGGCAGGTCTTGAGAAAGACATGAAAACTGCAGTGTGTTTGTCTTTGTTTTTCCAAAGGAAGTTAGGTCGCTCAGGTAAGTGTAAAGACACCACTTGTACCTGGAGCTGAAGTGAATTTCAGACTCGTCAGGGCACATGGGTGGCTTTGTTTAATTTACATTCTCGTCAGCTTTGGCCTCGCTCAATTCACAGGGGATTTTCAAGGAAACCTAGGTGCATTGGTTGCGTAGTAGTGCTAACGTGCACTCCCATTTTGTACATTGTCATTACCTATGAATATATATGTATACATGCTTACACACATGTGCATTCCAAACAGGATGTGCAGTCCCATGTGATAATTACAGTCTTCGCGAGCATTGCATTTGAGAGGCACGTTTTTGGTTAGAGAACAGGCGAGGCTTCTTCTATTTGGGAAGCTAAATGATTGGGGGGGGGGGGCCAAAAGCCATTGAATTACCTTCCCGGTGGGGTGAGGCTTACGCTTGTCTTGTGTGTCACACAACTGAGCAAGAGAGATTGGAGGGGACCGTCTTGTTGGAGAATGAAGGGGGTCTATGAGCTGCGTAGTGCTGTCTTAATTCCACGCGAGAACACTGTTACGTAGTAGCAACAGCGCTAAATGTTTGTTGTCACTTCACCCCCTGTCTAGTCGGGAATCCTCCATTGTAACGGACCCTGCTGTCTAACTCGGCTCCTTGCCGCTGCTCCACAGTGCATAGACTCCAGATGTTCGTATTGAAATGAAACTGGTTGTCTCCGCTATCACAGCGCAGCGTAGTGGTTCTGAAATGGCAGAGATGGGATATTCTTGAACGTGACTTCCAAAAAAATTATGGAGATTTTTCTCTTTTGTTAGAAAAACCAGTAGTATACCCAGGAATAGCTGTGTTTTTCCAGAATGCATTCATCTTTTTTGGGTAAGACTATCTTCTTTTGTTCATTTCTTACCTAATTTGTTTTTAATGATTAAAACTGAAACGTGCTGTGATCTGTTTTTTCTTAAGCCCTGTTTTGTAACTAGACGTGGGTCGATAAACTGCTGGTAAAGGCAGTAGACCTCTGGGATCTGTCTGCACAGGTTTCGTTGCAGGACCAGGAACTGGATTTACAAATACTACAACTTGCTCCCTGAAATCATGTATTTAAAATACTGGGTATTTGATCGGCTCCGTTATGTACTCATGTCCCTTTATTCTGTTTTAAACAGAGGACTGGTCTTCAAATTCGGTCGCACGGAAGATTTGTGGCAATGAACACGCCTGTGGAAGTGCATTGGCCACGCTGGTTTTTTAACTGCACACTCCCAAAATTTTGTAAAGCCATTTTGTAAACGGTGACCTTCAATTGTGTCTAAAGAGGAAACAAGGAAAACTTAAATCATAGCTCTAAAAATTCTGGTTCTAGTCTGTTTAGTTTTTTTACTCTTGTATGTTGATTTAAATGTTGTAACATTTTTGACAAATGTAAAATTGCTACCAGTAACCATGGAAGTCACTTTTATGATACGATGTTTGCTACAAGTAAATAGTATAGTGCAAAATGGATGTATTTAACCAGCTGTTTCTATGATGTTATTTACAATCCAAGGCTTCCTAAAAATGCTTTAAAACAACTTTTTAACATATATTTATTAAATATTTCCTATATCTGGACAATATAACCATTTCTTCAATTTCAGAACTTACTGGTGTGTGGCTTTTCTTGCGTAATATAGAACTATGCTGCTTTGGGATTTTCCCCCCCCTCCCTGAATATTTGATTTATCCTATGACGGTGATGAGGAAGTCTCTGGTGAGTAACAACTTACAGTTGCTGTGACATTGTAGAGGCACAAGTATAAATTATGTAGGGGCTCTAGATGGAAGTAGCTCATCCACGAAGCTTGCTGTAGACTGTTTTCTAACCGCTGTAAAAGAAGGGAAGAGAACTCTCCGGATCAGAGTTCTGTCTTCAGGCAGCGTGCTCTTCAGACCAGGGACAGTCACTGCCGGGGAGAATTTTGATCCTGTAGCATACTCACTGGACAGGTGAGATAGCTCTTCCTGTACCTGCCCCTTCCTCTGCGTTCACCTAGGCTCGTTGCTCAAGAAGTCAATGATAAGGGACCCGTGGGGAAAAGGGAGGGAATCAAATACTATTCCTTAAAAGCACTCCTGCCAGGAAACAGCAGAAGCCGTCTGCGTTGCAGCAGTTAGGTTTGGCTGGTTGCCGGGAGGTTGGCAAGTGAAGTGCACGAGTTGAGCCTGGATTACCCCGTCACGCAGGCAGCGGTGTGTTAACCGCGAGGTAACGCAAATGTGTACGTGTGTATCCAGGCCGAGTGTCGCCGTCAGCTGGCAGAAGCCGTGGGCAGCTGATGAACTCGGCAGATCACTGGCTCTTTTGTGACCTGGAAATAAGGAAAACTGGCCCTTCCTCGGTTTCAAGCAATGAAAAATTACATGAAACCTGTCTCAGCTTCTTCAACCGTAGTGATCCCTAATGAACGAATTGAGGTCAGCATCAAAGAACTCATGCTTTGTCTTCAACGTTGCATTCTTCCTCATTACTTCATTTTTAAGCAAGTGTGCTGAATAAATAAAAACAAGCAAATTGTGACTTTTTTATTAGGTAAGCATTTTTGAAAGAGTTTTTCTATGTCAACTATTTCAAAACGAAGACACACCAAGGATCGCGATCCATTTAAAAACAAGGGTTCGTTTGCACAGAATCCTCTGCCCGATCAGGCCCAGCTCATGCACCAAAGCCCCCTGCTCGTCTCGGGCTAAAACAGCTCGACGTCAGACACTTCAGAAACTGGGTCCTGGCGTTGGCGCCGAGGACTGTTCCCCGGTCTCGCCAGTTGTCCGCGCCCTGAGGGGCAGCCAGAGCCTTTTGGGCAGCTGACCTCGTGGTGGTGCGGACTGTCACTGTGCAGGCAGGCCCTTCCGAGGTTTGCTGCCGAATCTTGAGTAACACCATTGATTCCAGGGCACCATCCACAAGCAGAACAAGTGAACTTCTTGCCATTCGAACTTCCAAATAGCGAGCCCGAGCCAAGTGATAACAGATTTTTCTTTAAGCAGTCAGATAACTCAAAGAGTTCAGTCTGGCAAGACGCGGAGTTCCGGCCCTGATCCAGCTCACTCATCAAATCCTTGCTTAACAAGGCCTTCAACAGAGTTAGTTTAGCTTAAAAACAAGTACTTTAATGCTTTGCTAGATAAGAATAAGTACGTACTCCTTGAAAAATTATACTTTAAAACATATATTTTGGCTTTTAAACTTGGGAGCTAAAGAGAGTTTAAAGTTTCCAAGCGTTTTGATTGATAAGCCATTACAGCAATGAACGTAGCCAACTTTTTTGTACGTATCCTACAAAAACATACTTAAGGTAAGACCAACAAAGCAGAAAAGCGAAATGCATTATACGTTTGCATCTGTAAATTCACACCCTGTATCTTTCAAGAATAACTAGAACAGTTTTTTACTAATGCTTTGTGTGTCCCTTGGGATGGCTTTTTTGAGCGTGAGAATTGACGCTTAAGTGCTCTTTCAACCCATCATAGCTATTGGGTTTCTCTGGTGACAAATAGGAAAAGCTTATCCTCGTCAAATCTGTCATCTGGGTTCCTCCGTTCAAAATCCAACAGCCAAACGGGGAAACTGTGAAGACAAACATTCTGGCATCAGAACGTTTTATGCACCAAATCATTGTACGAAAAAGGCAATGGGAAACCTTATTAGAAGCTGTCCTGGTTTCGGCAGGGATAGAGTTAATTTCCTTCCTAGTAGCTGGTACAGGGCTGTGTTTTGGATTTAGGATGGGAACAAAGTTGATAACGCACCCCGATGTTTTAGTTGTTGCCAGGTAATGTTTACACTAGCCAAGGACTTTCTAGTTTTCCATGCTCTACCGACTGAGAAGGCTGGGGGTGCACAAGAAGCCGGGAGGGGGCACA